TTGGTAAATCATCCCATCTACTCTCTGCCTCTGGGCTTTTCCCTTTCCTTATTCTCTGTCTCTTCCTTTCCTTCTTACTCCATGGCTGGCTGTGTTGTTGGGTGGCTGGCTCCTGGCGTCCTCCTTTCCTTCTCCTTTTTTCTCAACCCTCCTTTTCTCTCTTCTCCTCCTATTTATTCTGTCTACATGGCAGCCCCACCTATCATTTCTCCTGCCTCGCTATTGGCCGTTCAGCTTTTTATGAGACCAATCAGGTGTTTTAGACAGACAAAGTAACACAGCTTCACGCAGTTAAACAAATGCAACATAAAAGAATGTAACACATCTTTGTATCACTAGACAAATATTCCACAACATAAATGAATGTAACACATCTTCAACTAATATTCCACAGCACATAGCTGCACAAGACACACATGCATGCATATAGCTGCACACAGGCACAATGCATGCATATAGCTGCACACAGATACACATGCATGCTTATAGCTGCATATAGACACACATATGTGCACATTTGGATCCTGTGGTTCTTGCCTTCCTGTGTGGCCTTGGACACACAGAGAGGCTCACAGTCAGCCATCATGGCTACCCTTGGTGGTTCTCTCAGATACCAGACCCTGTGGCTCACCAACTAAGGTCTCCACGATCACGAGCCCTTAAGTAGCTGTGCCTGCTCCAATCACCTGTGACTAAATGTACAAGTTATATTGTATGCTGAGAACGTGAGTCGGTCGGTTCCCCAAGGTTGCAACACAGAGGAAATGATAATATGTATCAAAGACTTCTTCAAAGCCAGGGACACATTCGTTATTGGTTAAAGGGCACTGAGGGGTAGGAATGGGAGGTGTCAGCCTTCATCCTCTATGACACCCTGATAGGTCTGTCATGTGGTTCCCACAGGAGACAGCCTAGCCCTTCAATATCTGCTGATGCCTTTTATCGGGAAAGCATTTATTTATTATATGTTGGAGAAAGCCAACAACTTGATGTGATCTCATGCAGATTTTAATTAGAATATTAATCAGCTACATGCTGCACAATTTTGGCTAAAAATTCAGAATTCAATATACTAAAATCTCAAGGAACAGAGCCAGTTTAATTTGTTTTAGATATTTTGCCCCAGGTTAACATTAGGAACTTAATATTGCATGTCCTATGGAGAAATTATTATTATAAATGTGCATATCGTGCAAATTAAAATCATAGTTCATTCACAGAAAAACTTCCCCACTTGCTTGAGTTTTAGTGACCACGTCTGTGGTTCCAAAGGATGTGAGAGGTTCCGGCATCTCTTAGAATAGATCTGATAAGAAGCGGTTTCTGGGACACAGAGGCACTCGGCACTCTGGGAAGGTTGGAGTTTACTCACCTTTTCAATGACTGGCCGGCTCGAAGACACAGGGGACAGCTAGATGGTGGTTTTGTTGTGACCTTGTTCAAAGGCTCCTAGGCACTCACAGGGATGTGTTACCAATATTAGAACGTGAAGGCCGCTGAGATGCGCTTGGTGGAAGTCCCTAGTCTGGGCTCATCATCTGGAAAGGCTGCCTGGAGGCCAGGAGATGTGAGCCAAGGTCTGGTGATGGAGTAGGAGACCAGTGAGGGAAGACAGCATGGTGGAAGGCCATATGGGGGCATGAAATGGTCACTGTGGCTGCACTGTACAAAGTGGGGTGGGAACTGGTAAGAGCGGGCCTGGAGAGCTGGGGTGGAGCGTGCTGGGGGGCTCAGTGCTACAGTAAGGAACTGGTCTGACACTATGGTAAGAAACTTGCACTTAGGCATCATGAGGGGCGATGCAGATCTGCTGGAGCGTAGAGAGTGAGCTGATGTTTCACACTGGAGTAGGAGTTGGCTGGCTGAGAACGCGGGTTGGAAGGAAGCAGGGGTGGTAGCTAGCCTGCCAGAATGTAGGCAAGAGGAGCTGGTGCCAACACAAGACTGAGGATTCACAACACAGGCAAGCTCCTTGAGCTGGGTTCCCTTGACTCTCCCAGGAAAATGCGTCGCATGAGAAGTTCCAGGTCAGAGTCCCGAGCTACAAGCAGTTGGCAGGTGGGAGACAAAAATGTAAGGACAATTGAGGAGTGACCAGAGTGACTCTGAGGGGAAGGCAGACAGCATTGATTTAAACCACCTATGCATAAGCAAATGCAGAATGGCTTTGGCAGGCATGGCCACCAGTCTCTAAGGCCGTTGGTGCCTCAGCAAGATAGCTTCTTGAAGCTGCCCTCAATATCCTATCTCCCTGCCTATCCCCCAGTGTTTAGCAGATGATGGCTTTAGCACTGTACCTTTCATCTGTTATTTTAACTCAGAACCTTCGCATCTAAAAGAATTATATGTGATGTCAGTTTGTGCTCCAGAGGGGTTATTTTATTTTAGGAAATTTTATTTTATTCCTAATCCCATGTATATCCGCGCATCTCTGTCTGTCTGTGTGTATATGCACACAAGAGCAGGGTCTGCCCTCAGAGGCCAGATGAGAATCATGATGCCCTGAGGCTGGAACCACACACGGTTGTGAGCTGCCCACCAGGGTTGGTGGGGATTGAACTCAGGTTTTCTACAAGAGCATAGCATGTTCTTAACTAAGCCGTCCCTCTATCCCTGCCCTGATTCGTGAAAAAGGCTCAAAGGCAATTCCGTGAAGAAAGAATCAGATTATCTTCCCAGAAAATAGTTTTAGAAAAATTAGATAACCACATGCAATCAATGGCAGTATCAAACCAAAGCAGAACAGGGAAGAATCCCAGCCTTTCCCTTCCCTATAGACAGAGAACAGAATAGATGGCCCCTGGGCCCTTGAGATGGTTCAGGGGTAAAGCACTGACCATCACTCCTGACCACCTGAGTTAGAGACCAGCACTTGCAGGGTGGAAAGAGAGAAGCAAGTCCTGAGGTTTGTCCTGTGTCTTCCACTTGAGTGCATGGCATGCACACACACACACACACATATGCAGACGCATACACACAATTTCACACACACACACACACACACACACACACACACAGCAATAAGTAAAATGTAATAAAAATTTAAAAGATGGTCCCTGCCTGTCACCTAGAGCCTATGATCTTGTCGAACATGCTAGTGGTGAGATCAGCGCTCTCATAAAAGACAAAAGCAAAAGAAAACAGTAAACTGGACATCACGAAATGTGAGTTCTGCTCCGTGGAAGACTGTGTTAAAAAGGAGGAAAGACAGCGGCACACTTGGAGAAAATGTTTCTGGGCTACATCTAAGACAAAAGACTTTTGTAAAAATCTGTAAGAACACAACGAAAACCAATACAGGCCAAACATCACAGACATAAAACAAAATAAATACAGATTTGAATGAAAAGAAGTAACCAGAACAGTTTCCAATGAATGGCTGGCAAAACCGGAATATGTATAACCACAGAATATTACCCATCAATATCAAGGAACAGAGGTATACCAGGTGAGGGGGCACTCGCCTGCCATCTCAGCCCTTGGGAGGTGGAGGCAGCAGGACCAGCAGTTCCAGGGCACCCCCAGTTAGGAAGCAAGTGTGAGGCCAGTTAAGGGTTCAGACGGGAAACCCCGTCTCAAAAACGCAGCAACCCTTCCACCCACAAGGGAACCAATCACCCCCACATAACTTGGATGGATTTCAAGGACATTTGATTGAGTGGACAAAAAGGCCGATTTCAAAAGGCCATGTAGTAATTCCGTTTATGTGATGTGGTTGACCAAATTACAGAGAAGAGGTTAGTGGTGGCCCGGGCTCAGGCCTGGCGAGCAGAGAGTGGTGTGGACTCTGAGGGGTTATCACGAGGGAGGACCTCTGTGGAGAGGGGAGGATTCTGTGCTCTGATTGTGGTGGTGGCTGCAAAAGTTCACACCTGCGACTGAACGACACAGAGCTGTGTACACAGTGTGTGCTGAGTCCTGACTTCAACGTTCCTGAAATACACAGCGAGGAGCCATTAGTAGAAAAAGTGCAGAACTTTTACAGGGACCTCTCTGTATGATGTTTTGATGGGTATTTCAGAACAACAACAACAAAAAGGATTAAAGGTAAAATACTTTGCTTGTGAGTTGACAGTGATACCATCGATTTAGATTTAGGACTGCAGATCTCATTTCACTGAGACTGTGTCTACTTACTCCCCCCCCCCCC